CATGTCTGATAGACATGTATGGAAGAGAAGTATATATGCAGACCCCGCATAGTAACAAGGAATGATAATTATGTTTAGATTAGTAATGTTTTAAAGATTAAAAAAACTTACGAAATTATTTGTTTCGTCTGTCTGGCTACATGTTTCTAAAGCATACGTCAATAACGGATCAATTGGTTAAAATATCTAGATTTTTCAACTAAAAAAGCACAATATACAAAATCAGATCCACCTGATGTCAAGTACTAATGAGACCTAGATTAAATATAGATAAAAGTTGTACTTTTTTCCTACTAATCGTAGGTTCGGTTCATTAAATAGGTCGAGAACACTCTTCGTGCCACAGTGTGAAGTATCGCTGCGGATTTCTGAGTGCCGCTGAATCTTTGTCGTTCCGCTTCATCAGGACTGTCATAGTAATTAGTAAAAACTTTAAAGATGATTTTATACTTTGTTATTATATTTTAATTTTAGATTTTTCAATATAAAATGGCGTATTAACGTGTTTTTATCAGCTGGAATATGGCTTACTTAACATTTTGTTTCAGGATTTTTTTTAATTGATACTTTGATTTACAGAAAGGATAATTAAATTATTCAAACTTTCGTGAGACATTATACTAAACTGATATATAAACACGGCTAAACACTCACGTATATACGTCCGGTGGCGGCACCGACTAGTTTCGAGCCCATCGGGGGCCCATCAGGAAGAGTGGCACTGGTATTATTTCGCGGACGCGGCCCGTCGCTCACTCTGGAGTGCCCCCGATGGGCTCGAAACTAGTCGGTGCCGCCACCGGACGTATATACGTGAGTGTTTAGCCGTGTTTATATATCAGTTTAGAAAGGATAATATTATCTTTCTGTGCGTCCTCTCCTCTGTCGATTATAGGAAGGGAACGGATCTGCAATGCGGATGTCTATGGGCAGTAGTCTCTTCGTAATTCGGATAATTCCTATGGCTGTATGTTCCCTTGCCTTGCCTCTTGTTATAAAAAAAATATAATAAAATTAAAAACTTAATTTTAAAAATAAAAAATAATGTTTCTCGTATATAAGAAGAAATAATCTCGGAAAACTTTGAATGCATTTCCAGGTCATGGCAATGAACAATAGTTTGGAAACTTGAAAATTGAGATTTCGTGCACGAAAAATATTAAAGATAAGTCTGGTGTTCGTATTGTTATTTTTGATGAGCACTTTTTGTTGAAATAAGAAAGAACTAGTAAACTTACTAACATTATAAATGCGAATGTATACATGGATGGATGTTTGTTAGTATATCCAGAACGGCTTCATGGATATCGTTGAAATTTGACATAGATATAGAAACATAGTCTGGAAGAATACATAGTCTACTATTTAAGTTTGTTTTTAATTCCGCGTGGATGAATTCGGTGACAGGTAGTACGTATACACGATAAAATCATGAAAATAAAGCAGTAAAATATCAAACAAAAGACATTATTCGACAAATAATTTACAACCATTATCGCTTTGTACTAAATTGAAAAACTTTATTTTAAACATTCGAAAATTGAACCGCTCAGTAACTATTGTAACGAAACAATTCTAGTTAAATGGAATATTAATTTGAAAAGTTGAATTGGATTGTTATATACATATCCTTATTAGATAAAAACCTACTATATCATTTGTAGATAAAGCTTATATAGTACTAGTTGTCGCCCACGGCTCCGTCCGCTCGGAATTATAAGACCAAGATAAGATAAATCTGTTCAGCCGTTTTCGAGTTTTAGCGAGACTAACGAACAGCGATTGATTTTTATATACATATATAGATACAATATATCGTCATCCCTGTCTTTCATCTTTGACAAAACAGAGATACCAATATGTTTTAAATGGGGATTTTAGTCTCAGAAACCCAAACTTAGTACTACTGAATTACTTTAAAGTATTTTGAGTTACTATTAGTACTCTTATGCTCATCAAGATAACATTGTGATGGATGATGGTGTGATGATTAACAATTCAACTCCTAAGATAAACCTATACTCAATTTGCAATCTTACATCGTCAGCCCATCGTACACAAGGCAATGTAATTCGAAACTAATATTGTATCGCAAGTATCGCATTGCTCACGCTCCACTCCGTTGAATCGTGATCGCACGTCTTCTATTCGGTCAGTACAAAGCGACTACATGTCAAACATATTTGCTCAGCCATCTTGAAAATCGTAATGACTGTTCTCGCTTAACAAACAGGTACCTAGGTATATCGACTGACTTGGTGGCGACCGCCGTGGGGTTTTAGTCGGTACAAGCCTGACAAACCCTTTGTCCCAGTAAGGTGGGTATGCGTTAGGCATTTGCCCACGTTAAAAAAGGTGTATTGACTGGCTTAGCACGCGACTTGAGAAGCGACTACATATCAACTGTATTTGCATCGCCATCTTGAAAAATCACGGCGACTTTAGCGACGACGTTAACAAATAGATTGCAATTGGCTAGGCTTTGGCGATTACATGGAAATCGTTAGGTTTCGGTTTACATCGCCTTGTACAAAGGGTCTAATTGTATCATGAAAGCGATAACTTTATGTTATAAACACCGGAAGTTGAAAGTTAGTTTAACTTAGTTAAGTTAAGTATCGTTAAGTTGTGACCGCGTGGGTTCTACTAATGGAACTGAAATTGTCGGGCTACGTTAGTTTTGCATTAACATAGTTTTTGTTACTTTAGATGTAAGCAGTAACATCTGTTAGCTAACGCAATTTAAACAGACATTTTGTAGTGCAATTTATATTTAACAAGCTGTCGCCCGCGAATCCGTTCGCGAGGGTTTAAAAATATATAATAGTTGACCCAATGAATATGCATATGAAGTTTCATAAAAATCGGTCAAGTTGTTTCAGAGGATGGTAACTAACATTGTGACACGAGAATTTTGTATTTAACAGTATTTAAAAAACCAAATTCTAATAAATTGATATAGGCATATGTCTCAGATTCCCTAAAGTGTTAAGTTTCCCGTTGGACCGATCGGTCTACCGATTGAATAGATTCGATCGGCCCAATAGTAAAGAAATCGATTTAAAACACACCCAAAGTTTGATGTAAAAAAATAGATTCCGCGTCAGAATCCAATAGCGTTATACAGATGTAATTTTCACCTAATAAACGCTTTATTGTAAACTCAATTTGTAATTTTAACCTTAAAAATCAGGCTTAAATAACTATTTGATTTTGCGCGCTCATTTTTGATTCTATAGACGTCACTTTTCAATAGACTATTAGCGATGGATTGTTGAAAAAAATCAAATAAAAGTAAAATAAATTTCGAAAACCTGGGACTTTATTGGCTACTAGCTGTCACCCGCGACTCCGTCCGCGCGGAATTAAAAAATAAACATAGTAGCTTATGTATGTGTTCTTCCAAACTATGTTGTGTATGAATGCCAAATTTCATCGAGATCCGTTCAGTCGTTCTCATTTATAATATTAGTAAGAAGTAAGATAAAGATATTTAGGTGAATCAAGATGGCCACTTACTCGTTTGTCACCATGTAATTTAAAAATAAAATTAAAAAATATTCGGAATTGCCTTAAGTCCATGGAATGAAAGTTGAATACAAAAACTTTTTTGTACTGTCTTTCAGAGTCGTCTCGTTTGAAACATTGGAAAATTCTCGAGTCTGCTTCATTTCATTGCTCACTTTTTATCCTATTCAAAATACGGAAGTTGGAAAAAAATAACGTTTTTTTCTTGTTATTACTATTACTTTAATCCCGTATTTTCATGATGATAGTTGTTGATGTGGATGCATGGAACGGCGGCATGGATATGGATGAAATCTGATTAACACATAGGCTACTTTTTTTAAACAAGTTTTTTTTTTTTAATCTGAAGCGGACGGACTCGTGGGCAACAACTAGTGTATTAAATAAAATATACTACAGAAGTCAAAGATAAATTATTATGGACAGTTATAAAGGACGATACAAGCTAGGAACAGGAATTTGTAACTAAATACTCAATCGATCGTTTAGTTGGAAATGGATACTTAAACGTTCCGGAGAGTTTTAAGTTTAGTTCCCAGATAGTTAGTCCTTTGAGAGCTTTGAAACTCCGTTAACTGTCTCCTTTACATATTTTGTAAGCAGTATTTTTAGATGTCGACTATATTAAATTAAATTCCTGCGTACATCGTGGAATCTTCGATGCTAATCATCTATTCGGTCAGTAGAAGCATAGCAACTACATGTCAACTGTATAGATTTACTTCGCCATCTTGAAATTCCCAACGACTTTTCTCAAGACGATCTTTACAAACAGGTAGCTAGCGACTAACTTCGACGTTGACAGAAATATCGACGTCGCTGTGTTGTCGTGCAGGGTTTCGATTTACACCACCTCGTGTGCGAAAGGCGTTCTGTGTTTATTAACACGTTAGCTGCCATGTCGGACTATATGGCCGACAAGCTAATGTTTCAATCAGGCTGTGTCGGACTATGTGTCCGACAAGCCATACTTCCATTCCACACCTCGCTTTGACTTGTCGGACGCTTTTTAATCGAATTGTTGTATACAGCGTGACCCGCAAGGCCCCATAAAGGTAATTTTTTTTCGTTTTTTGAAAAATCATTCTGGCAGCTTACGAGTTAATATTTCAACTTAATTTTTTTGGTGTGTTTTTTTTTTCATATGTATGAATGTTAATGTTTTATCTATACTAATATTATAAATCGGAAGAGTTTGTTTGTTTAAACGCGCTAATCTCAGGAACTACTGGTAGGATTTAAAAAATTGTTTTTTTCTTAGAGAGTCTATTTATAGAGGAAGGCTTAAGGCTATAACATTACGCTGCGACCAATAGTTTTTTTTTTAATTCCGCGCAGAGTCGCGGGCGACAGCTAGTAATTGATAATCAAAACAATTTAAAACGTGAATTATCTCTTCTTCACAGAAAATCAATTATAAAGTCGTTAAGAAAATACGTTTTATCTTTTTAATTTTACTTTATCTTTTTAATTCTGATGGACGTTTTAAAAAGGATAATGAAGAAATATACAAATTATATCTTTCTTTGTTTGTTACGTAAGTATTGCTTAAATAGTTGTAAGACAAAATTAAATATCGCAACTAACACAACAGATAAATGCGAATGTTTAGATGGATGCATGGATAGATGGATGGTTGTTAGAAGGTATCTCCGGAATTGCTGAATGGATCATTATCTAATATATAGGCATAGATGTAGAACATAGTCTGGAAGAACACACACGCACGACATCTAATAATACTAATTAAAATAAATAACTCAATTTCGTAATGATAAAAAATTTACTTGGCGATTAACTTGACTTCAATATTGACGAAAATCAAGTAGAAACAAATTGAATTTAAAAAGTCAAATCAAAGCCGATTAATTCAGCCAAGTTAACAATTTTATTTATTTCAGTTGTATTAGATTTTCTTACTTATGTAAGATTAGAAACAACTGAACCTATGGTGGAATTTTGGACGATACCGGCGCAATTAGAGACATTCCCTATCGAATCATCAGTATCTCAATGCGCCACAGAACTAATGGAGTGCTACTCTATGACTATTTTGTAAGAGTATAACATTTTTTGTAATAAAAATTTCACAGTATTTACACTAATCCTCATACATAGAGCAGTAAAGGTGAAAGGAAATAATTCGTAGTACTTCAATGATAAAATTCCATAATACTGAATATTCAAAATTTGCTATCAAATATATCTTGCCAATATAATAAATGCGAATGTTTAGATGAATGGATGTTTGTTTAAAGGTATCTCCAGAACGGCTGAATGGATCTTGCCGAAATTTCGCATAGATGTAGAACATAGTCTGGAAGAACACATATACTAATTTAGTTTTTTTTTATTTCGTTCTGAACGGACGCAGTCGCGGACCACAGCTAGTTCATTTTATAAATAAAAAAAACTGGTGGGATTAATTTGATAATAAGTTCCTTTATCATCGTGAGCTATCTATGCGTACTCAAGGGCTCGGAGGCCACCCTAAGTTATTATTGATTAGGCCATAGTCAACCATGTTCCATTATTTCAGTAAAATAGCCGTATGTGCTGTCAATTCCCAAACTGGACAGGGCTCTCGTGCATCTAAGAAATCCTTCCCAACATTCTGTGATATGCATTATCGGAATTGTAAAAGTGACGTAGGTAAGATGAAATTAACTAACATATTTTTTATATCATAAGGTGTGAAACGAGCAAGCTGCCTGAGTTAGCCTAAATAGCGAAGCGACCGCTGCCCAAACCGCAATTGACGTGTTGTCTGCCTCTAATCGACGAAGGATGGAACGCATAGAAAGAGAATATTTCCCCTTCCTACGCATTCCTTCGTAAAAAAGGTTGGAAGGGAAATAGGACTAATTTACACCTCCGATACATTGATTAGACGAAATGCGGAATTGTTCCCACTTCACGCCTGTCATCTGTGTGGCCGTGGGATTACAAGTGCTCCATTTTTTGTTTATTTTTCTTTTCTATTAAAATGATGGATGTCTTTTTACAGAGACGTGGCATTACTTAAAAGACGATGATGGATCGGGAAAGTGTTAACGGTTTGAAAATTTAATATTAAAATACGTCCACGCTAACACAAAAAGTTCAAATTATTTTGTGTCAATTTTTGGTTTGTTTTTTTTTATTTATTATTAACACCTAGTTTCTTTGATCAAACTCCATTCTGAAAAAAAAATCTACTATTATGAATGCCAATGATTGAATGGATGGTTGTAAGAAGGTATATCCAGAACTGCTGCCTGGATCTCGCTGAAATTTGGATGTCGACCATGAGATGAATACATAGGCTGTTAATTTTTTTTGTTCCGCGCAACGGATTTCCTGGAGATAGCTGGTTCGTTATATCATCTGTTTTTATTCAAATATTTGTTTAAAATAATAACTTACTTCTCCAGCTGTTACAGTTTTCATATTCTAATGCACAATAATTTGTAAAAGTTTTGAGTTCACCATCGTAGTGACGAGCGCAGACCAATTTCTTTCTACAATTAAATGTCATGCATGAATATAAAGAAGGTATGAGAATCGGCTACTATTTTTAAATCCCGCACACACGGAGTCGCTGGCCACAGCCAAAGACACCTTACTAAAATACAAATGCGAAAGTTTAGATGGATGGACAGATGTTTATTAGAAAGAAGAAAGAAAGAAAAGTTTTTATTATAGGTAATACAGATTAAACCAAGAAACAATAACTAACATAATAAAATTGCACATAACTAAGAAATTAAATTAGACTTAAGTTACAATTTATGGTTAATTTGGATAATCTAGTGATGCCCACACTAGAAGATATCTCCAGAACGGCTGAACGGATCTCGCTGAAATTTGGTGTACATGTAGAGCATAGTCTGGAATAACACATAGACTAGTAATGATTTTTTTAATTCTGCTATGCTTTAAAGCTAAGTTTAAAAAATATGTTAAGCAAACAAAAACAAAATGTTTTAACGTTCACTACGCGTTTAATGATCTAGTAGGCAAAACTCTTTATCATCAGCTCACTATACGTCCCCACCGAGGGGCTCGGAGCCTACCCTAAGTTAAGGGTGAGTAGGCCATAGTCAACCACGCTGGCCAAGTGCGGGTTGGTTGACTTCACACATACCTTGAATTTCTTCTCAGATATGTGCAGGTTGCATCACGATGTTTTCCTTCACCGTAAGAACGTCGGATTAATCTACATATGTAAATCGGAAATCGAAAAACACATTGGTACATGGCGGGATTCGAACCCAGGACCTGCAGATTGCAAGTCAAGTGCTTGACCACTAAGCCACCGACGCTCTAATGCAAAACCCTACTATTACATTTTAAAGAGTCTGTCTGTCGCGACTCTTTATTATTTGTAAAAATACTTACTTATAATTACTTGGGCAGTCAGTAAGAAAAATAGTACATCCTCTATCAATGAGTTCTGATTTTCTGAACACCGATTTTTTGGGGTAAAATCGAACCTTCCACGGCGCAGTATGGCGTTCATTTACATATTCTGATAATGTACCAGCCAAAACTATATATAATTCATAATTAGATAAATACATAAAAAAAACACTAACTACGAACGATGTTCTGAGAAATTTTTTAGTCGATAAAAAAAAATATTGAAGACTTATAAACCTTACTTCTTACTAATATTATAAATGCGAATGTATAGATGGATGTTTGCTTAAATATATCCGGAACGGCTAAACAGATCTTTACGAAATTTAGTATAGATATAGAACATAGTCTGGAAGAACACATAGGCAACTAATTATTATTTTTTTAATACTGCACGAACGTAATCGCGGACTTCAGCTAGTATTGTATGAAAAAAGAAAATTTAATACTTACATAAACAAATTAAAAAACCCACAAAATATTCTCTAAGCCCCATGAAGATGAATAAAACATAAATAACTAAGTTATTGAATTAAAAAGTTATAAAACCAAACGTTACGTGGTTAGGATAAACTGCCTTCGTGTGTATTATGGTTTAATTTTATTACTTTTTGAAAATACGGGAACATTTAATTGCATATTGTAGATAAGGATTGGAATTTTACGACTCACTTCCTCATATAGGAAACATAATATGTTCGTATCACAATGTATAAAGATTTTATCCATTAAAAATTGCAAGATCATATTTAATTAAAAAAAAATAAGTGATGTAACATAGTAGATGCTTCTTTTATACCTTATATTTATATTTAAGTTCATATTTGCAAAATTAAGTTACAGCTTTAACAATTTAAAAGAAAATATAATTTAAGATTATGAAAGACTAGCTGTCGCCCGCGACATCGTCTGCACGGAATTAAGAAACTTAATAAATAGCCTATGTGTTCTTCTAAACTATGTTCTACAACATTGGCAAATATCAGCGAGATCCGTTCAGCCGTTCTTGAGATGCTTTTAAACAAACATCCATCCATCCATCTAAACATTCAAACATTCGTATTTATAAGTAAGATATTAATTAAGAAGTCAAACAACAATATATTTTAATTTATGAACCATTATTTCTTACATAGAATGGGCAAACTATTGCTAAATTAACTGTTAGAAACAATACTCTAACATTCATCTAAATACGTCTTCCTCTTTCAATAAACGAAAAGGTCGAACTTCCCTTGAGATATCATTTTAATAAAGTCGACGATGAAATATTTATTCAAAGATATGGTACGAAAAATAACAATGATGTATTGTTTTTATGGCAAATAAAATATATCAAGGCTTTTTTATGTCGACATATTAAAAAGCCTATATTATATATGGGCTTTTTTAATACGTCGGTAAGAATAAATATTTGCTATTTATTTTTACCAGGCTTTAAAAACCATTCAATAAAATTGCTGTTAAATCAACTTTAATTATTTTATAGATTTATTTGTGTGACAGAATTCTCTCAGGACATGTTAAAATTGAATAAAATTTGCGTATATACATAGTATTTTACTTTTATAAAGTGCTCTTCCAGTCCCGTTTAACGACTCATGATTTTCTACAATTATTCCAGTCGTTTGAATTCGAATTTATGTCTGAATCCATACAATGGGGTCAAAAACTTATTTCTTTTATTATACGATCAACATTGTTCTCGAAGAATACAAATAAAATTCCATTGAGACACTAGTTACATTAGCTCTGGGAGTCTCCGGTCTAATTATTTTCTAACAAAACGTCAACTTTCATAACTGGAAAGAAATAAATACGTTTCTAAATTTTTCTCCATTCAGTATTTCCTGCTCTTTACCTAAATACCACATTTTTTGTGTAACCTAAATAATAATATCGATATTTATACCTCTTTTTATTTATTATTGTGCCATTTTATATTGTGGTTTGAATTTTTATGTAGACAAAGCAATTAGATCACGATTTCCGAAATTATAGAATGCATAAAATTATAACTATTATTTTACGACAGGCGTCTTGCCAAATAAAAGTAATTTCTTATTACATTTTAATTACCCTTCAAATAATTAGAGCATCGTTAGATTTTCGTCTCTATAAACATTAAAAATAAGATCTAAAACTAATAAACAAAGTTGCTTCATGACACGCTTAGAGGAAAATATAAAATATCCTATAAAAGAATGCGGGTGATTATACGAATTTCAGAAATATTTAACTGGTTCTACGGGGATTCACTTATAACTAGGGTTGGGAATCACCTGAGACCTACTTTCTTTTACACTTAACTAGTTTGTAGTACATTAAATGAAATTATCAACTCTAATACCACGTACATAAAGTTTAAATTTGAAATCGTTACATTGTAAACTAATGTTTAAATGTATTCAAATAACTGCAATATAAAAGCAAGCTTACTTGTAATCTATTCATTGAATTCAAATATCTTTATTGTAACTTATCTAAGTTTAAAACAACTTTAAAAACTTTAAAATGAATTTTAACATTATTCTATGTTTCATTATTGTTTTCTTTACATCTCTCAGCGGAGTTATTGGTGCTCCAGAACCTAAATGGAATCCATTTAAGAAATTGGTAATTATTTTTATTTATAACCCAAGTATATGATATTTTAATGCCTTTATTTTAAAGGTTCTCAGGTTTCTAGCGTTTCTTTTTCGAGCAAATTAATGTATAATTTTGTATACAGTATTTTGTTGGGTTATTCCTTGTTCAAAGATTTAATTGTTCGCAACAGTTCATTTTAGGTTATTTTATAACTGCAATTAAAATGTATCATTGCTTTATATTATACTATAGATTATTGGGTTTTCTTTTCAATTTCTATTGGATTCTTCATCTATAGACAAATTATATTATAGTAAACTACATATTAAAAATCATTTTTAACTGAAAAATTTAAAATATTTAATTGACATTTTGCTAATCTTGATAACAAGGCGCTTTTTTGGAAAATTTTCAAATTTTATCTAAGATGGCGGATATTCTGGATGATATTTTCTACAGTGTTTATCTTTATAATAGGAAAAGGTTGGGCAAAACATTCGCGACGGCATCATCAAAGCAGGCCCAGCAGTCCAAGTGATCGGCCAAGCTGCATCCATCGTGAAACCAAACCAAGGAAAATAATATAGTAATTAATATGTAGAAAATAAAACAATACCAAATAGATTATCCAAAATCTGCACTAAATTTTTTTATTAAATTAAAATCAATATGTTATAATTTTTCATAGCAAACATATTTATATTGAAATTATATTTTGGTTACAATTCATGGTTTACAGTTTGATTCCTGATATCCTGTCTATTAATTCGTTATGTTGTATGTCTGTTTATAAAAAAATAAAGAGTTAGTAACTACTCAAAAGTATTCTATGATCTTATTTTAATTTTTTATGTTTAAAAGAAAATCGTGTTAGTTACATTTATAACTCAACAACGACTTTACCGATATGGCTGACAATTGGTGAGGAGGTAGCTTAGAGCGAGGAGACGGACATAGGATACTATTTATTCATTTTTATTTTATTTTTTTGGAATTTATGCCTTCAAGAGTTGTTTTTTATTTAACTTACTAATATTATAAATGCGAATGTTTAGATGGATGTCATGTGGATAGATGGATGGGGGGTGGGCTACACTAATTAAGTTTTTTTATATATCCACGCGGACGGAGTCGCGGGCGACAGCTAGTGTTTATTAAATAATAAAACACCGACACTATCCTTTATATGAAATATGAGCAGAAAATAATACGCCTTCCAAAATAACACTAGACATAGACGATAAATATCAAACCACTTAAGAAGACGTATTGTTCCCCGACATTGACTTTTAAAGACAGGACCAGAAAACGCACGCATTCTTTAAAATAAAAACAAGCACAAATTTCTCAAGTTGTTTGCCAGTGCAAACATATCCGCATTTATGATTGTCATCCTTAACACAGTCCCCAGAAAAGGTGGCAGATTTTTTTTATAACGGCTTTGCCTAGTCCGTGTCTCTATAGTCAAAGTACGTCAAAAATCTGATAGTGGTTTTATGGAGAACGACGAATATATTGTATTATAATGGAACTTGAAGATTTAGATGTTTTTGTAACAAGTGATTTATTTATTTGTTTCAATCTTATTCTTACTAATATTATAAATGCGAATGTTTGGATGGATGGATGTTTGTGAGAAGGTATCTCCAGGCTGCATGGTTACGCTCAAATTTGGCATAGTTAAAGCACACAGTCTAGAAGAACACATAGGCTTCTAATTAAGTTTTAAACCCTATGAAGTGCATGTATGAGTAGACGTATGTAGAAGACCCGAGAGAGGTGTGTCAGGATTGCACCAAAGGTTCATAGTCTTTGCCTACCCTTCTGGATTAAGTGAGTGATGACGTCGTTGTTGCAAATAAAATACAGGAGTAATAAAAAACGTTGTTTATTAAATACAAATAAAATAAGCTATAAATTATATTAAAAATAAAGATCTTATCAAGACAGCCTTATTTCTCTCATCTAAACTTCCATGACGTAGTTTGTGTGACGTCACTTCCCAGGTTTGATGATAGAAGCCGCCTGCCCCACAACTGCAACTGCAGGGCCCGCTTTGATGATTCCATCGCGAATATTCTGTCCTACTCTTTCCTGTAATAAATTATTAATTAATGAATGAAATAAAAATCTTACTAATATTATAAATGCGAAAATTTTTAATAGGTATCTTAGGAAGGGCTCCACAGATCTTGATGAAATACGGCACAGATGTAGAACGCATAGGCTACTTTTTTAATTACGCTCGGACGAAGTCGCGGACGACAGGTAATATATGAAAAAAATGCTGTTAAAATGTTATACAGTAACTTCAAAATCAAACATTTGAAAAATAATTTTATCAATTTAGTAATCAAATTCGAATTAACTTTAAATTAAACTGAATAGGACATACAGAAAAACACTACGTCAAGTTTTATTAACTAAAATTAGCTGTCGCCTGCTACCATCCATCCATACATCCAAACATTAGCATTTATAATATTAGTAAGAGAATACAGTACGATTCGCCCTGGATATGATAAGAACATTTAT